AATTTTTTTTTAGGTGATAGCCAAACAAATATCTCATTACTTTATACGGATTCAAGTAAAGAAACGGATACCAAAGCATTGGCATCATTTTTAGTGCCTGAATTTACAAAAGATTGGGCGAAATTTGCATTGGAAATTCAAGATGATAATATCGTATTGTATTTTCGATGTATACGTTTTGCAACCAGACAGGTGTGCTTTTTTTTTTTTTTTTGCTTAGCCGAAATGGCTTACTGGTTTCTCGGTTCATGTTATTAATTTTAGTTAGTTAATGTTTGGCTTATATTGTTAGGATTTTTTTAATTTTGTTGGAAATTAATTTTTACATTTTGTGCTTTTGATTTTAATTGATTAGTTTCCGGATTATATTATTAAGATTTATCCTTTTTGTCAAAACATAGACTGTTTTGACAAAAAGGATAAATCTTAATAATATAATCTGGGAACTAATCAATTAAAATCACTAATTGCTAGTTGGGAAAGATGTGATTGATCTGAATTGTTGAATGCAAATTAAAAAACTGAAATTCATTCTGAAAGATTTTATTCATCGTCACTGAAAAGGACGAATGAAGATTTCAATAATTTTTCATCTGATTTTGTTTTTATTTTTGTTTTTCTTGGCCTTTTTTTCTGATTAATTGGAACACAAATATTTTTAGAAATGTGACAATGAAATAAATTAAACTTCGAGAAAAAAAAATCAGTCTTCATTTTATAGTATGTTACTTTTATTAGCGAAAATACTATAGACAAAAAAAGAAACTGAGAGAAAAGTTGTTTAAAAAAAATATTTCAAAAAATTTAAATTAAAATTTTTTCTACTTTTTTTAAAGGTTAAACGAAAACCAGTTCAACTTGTAATGGATGATGCTCATAAATTATACATTGCAAGCGCTGGGCCAATTTTACGAAAAGAATTTGAGGTATGTTGTTTTGAATAATTGTTTTGAATAAATTCATACATGGAATTAATTTTTCTTTATCATGATTTTTCTTCTCTCTTTTTTTCCATCTCGTCCATTTGTTATCGTAATTTTTTGATCTATTATTTTATCATGACTTTTTCATCTTTTTTTTTCCTTCTCATTTACTTTTATCATAATTTTTTAATCTGTTTTTTCTTTTCAGTCCGTTTGTGTCGTAATCTTTTAATTTTTTATCACGATTTTTTTTAAAATTTTATTATAATTTTTTCAATGATCTTTTCTTCTCGTAACCTTCTGTAATTTTATTTTTTTGTTTTGTGATAATACAATGATAAATTGCGTAGTGCTTTTTAATAATGTAATTAATTATCGTAAAATTGCATTTCATTGAAAAGAAGAAATTTTTCATTTTAAAATACTTCTTCGGAATGTTTTAATGTTTTATTAAAATTTATCAATCCCAGCTCATATCCTTTGATTTCAATAAATCCGAAAATATCGTAATGAATCCGGAAATTATTTCGTAGAGCATTAAAATAAGAATTAATTTATCGTTTATTTATTTTTCTTTTTATCTTTTCGTTTCTTTTGATCGTTCATCAAATGAAAAGAATTCGCTTGAAGAGTTAGCATAAAAAGAAGCCATGGAAACGAAATATTGTCTATGCGATAACAAATTTGACATTTTGACGACAAAATTCTCAATTTTTTCCAAGCATTGATGAAATTCTTTTTGTGCAACGAAAAAAAAAATTTTGACCGTGATGAAGTAGTATGAAATTGAATTTTTAAATTAAACTAAATAGAAAAAAAAATTTAGATGGAGTTTTTTTTTTTTTAAAAAAAATAGTATTAATACTGTTGGACGGCGAACATTAAATTCGTTTATTCTGAAAATATTGCTAAAAATTGGACAAAAAAAATTGAAAATTTTGTTTGTTTTTTTGTTTCGGTTATATCAACTTTAGTGCTAAATTTGAATTTTTATGCAATTTTTTGAATATTACTATCACCTTAATTTAGCGGTAAATTTTGAAAACAAAATTTTTAATTTTGTTTCAGTCTTTGGTGATAAGTTTAAAACAAAAGAAAAAATAGTTAAGTTTAGCTTGATTTTTATAACTGTTGAAAAATTAGTTGCATTAAACTGATTTGCATTGTCAGGCGAAGAAAAATGATTGCAATTGCAAAATGTTTCGAATGAACTTTAAGCAAAAATTCCCTAAGAAAAGCAAGAAGAGTTCAGTTGCAGTTGAAAATTTAAAATTTTCAATTTTTGTTTCGCCCTCAGTTTGATCTCTGCTTTCAAAGTTAATTTTTAAATTCAATTTTATTAATGCCGGATAATAAATGAATTTAATATGGGATAATGGGAATGAATTTTATTCTAAGTATTCCATTTCTGAATTTGATCGATTTTGTTTCTGTTTTCCAAATATTTTTCATGCGACATTTAAATTCAATCTTCTAAAAGTTTAAAAGTTCAATCATTTTAACAATTTAAAAAAAGAAAACTCCAACCAGCTCGATTGAATTCATCCTTTCCTTTCATCAATTACAATTAAAAATCAGAAGTGGTGATTAATAAAAATAAAGTGAGTGGGATTTTTTAAAAGTGTTTTTTTATTTTTCTAGCCAAAGCAAAAGAATTGGAATAAAATTAAGACTAATTTGAATTTAGCTTTAAATGGATTTGAATTGGGTTTCAACGATTACCCTAGTCATACCATCTTAATCGCTAATTCTATTAGTAGTAGTAATATTGAAAAAATCAAAATTAAAATTTACATTGAAAAATATACCTTAATCTAAATAGAAAAATTTTTAGCTAAACATAATTATTTTAAATTTTTTCGTACAATTACTTAGATAGCTAAGTATTATTTAAATTAAAAAAATTAATTTTAGCATCAAAATCATCAATTTTAAATTTTAAAAAAATCATCAATAATAGTTGAGTACAATTATTTAGATTAAAAAAATCATCAATTCTACTAGCCAATAATTGCCTAATAATCTACGATCACTTCGTCTTTTTCCCTCCTTTTTTAATTTTCAAAATTTCTAAAACTTATTTTTTTTTCTTTTGTTTACAAAAAAAATACCTAAAATTATAAGTTAATTCATTTTTTTTATAAAATAGAATATAAAAAATGTTCATTTTACCATTACCATTTCCTTTTTCTTTCATTCCTAATAAATATATGCAAGAAGATAAGACCGAATTTCCTTTTTTTTTTCTTTCTTTATAATGCTGTTAATGTTAATACAAACTAGTTTTTTCAAAAAAAAAGAAAAAAAAAAGGAAATGAATAATTTGTAGCAACCAAAACGACCTTTTATCCTTTTCAATTCTTTTCATCTCTCATTTCATTATCCCTTCCTTATTTTTTTCCATTTTTTCTCTTCTATCTTTTCAATTGCTAAATTTTACTCATAGCACTTTCAGTTTGTTTTTTTCTCCCTTTTTTTGTTATCTATACTGTTATCATTTGTCATCATCATTATTATTTACCATTATTATTATTATTATTGTTATCAAAAAAAAAAGGAAACAGCTGCAAATATGAACCTTTTTATAATGTTTTATCATTTCCCGTTCATATATACTTACATACATAATATGAATATTTTGTCAATTATTTTATTTA